GGAAGCTCAAGGGGTCACTCTCCTGGCCCCGGGCCCCTCAGCGGCTTCCTCTGGGGCTGGCCTGGACACACCCAAAATGGTAGATCCCTCCGTCACCAGCCTTGGCTAGCGGCCAGGGGAGACTGAAGCCTGGATGGCGGAAGGGGCGGGCTACCAGGCTGAGCGCCTGCCTCCTGGAAAGCTCAGCCAGGCAGGAGCAGGGCCTTCCAAGGGGCTGGGGAATCACCCAGGAATGCTGTGCCCTCCTTGTGCAGATGAGAAAATCGAGGCTCAGAGATGAGAAGCAGCTGCCCATCGTGGCCTGGCTGGGAGGTGGCTGGCCTTGGACTTGCTTCCCCAGCCCTCATCTGGCTGCAGGAACCTCGTGGAGCCCGGGGTGACCCCAGCCGTGGTCTCTCAGTCTCCTTTGCTAAGCTTGAGCAAGAGGATGGTGGGGAGACATGGGGCCCAGGCTAGAAGGTGATAGGATGGCTGTCTGTGCATCTGTGTGCTGGTCCATCTGCCTGTCTACACAGACAACTCTTCAGACAATCCTCAGTTGTTAAACTAAAACCAGGTGTAGGTCTCTTTAAATTCATTTGTGCAAAATATCTTGCCTCCTCTGTACCAGGCTAGCAAATTCAGGGTCCAGAAGGTGAAAGTTGTTTTGTTTTTGGTTTGTTGTTTTTGTTTGTTTGTTTGTTTGGTGGGGGCAGGGGGCAGAAAAAATCTTAGCCATCACTGGGGCTTGTGTTCCTGCAAAGGGCTATGGGACAGTAAACAGGTGTATCCGCGGTATCGCAGTTTATAGGGACGGGTGGTAATTAGGTAAAGGGCTCCTTGATGGGGGCCAGGGGCGACGATGAGAAAAGGTCGGGAAGGGCAGGATGGCAAGCCCAGAGCAAGAACCCGCGTGCTGGTTGCTTCTGTCCCATTCCCGAGTCCCCTCCTGCAACGGGCCTTTCATGAGCCCCCAGGAGGCCAGGCCTGTCAGTACTGGGGACCAGTGGAGACTCTGCCCTGCAGAAGCTTGCAGCCTGGTGGAGGCTCTGGTGGGGCAGCCACCGTGCCCACGCCCCACTGGGCCAATGTCACAAAGCCTGCTAAGTGCCTGCCTGTCCAATAAGCCCTGGGTAAGCGGTGTGAGCAACAAGATATCTGTGGTTCCTGTCCTCTTGAAGTGTGTGGGCCAATGGGAAAGGAGTTTTAGACAGTAAAAACATTTTAAACGGTTTAAATAATGGGAATGACTAATCATGCCTGAGCAATCCAGGATGGCTTCTTGGAGGAGGTGCCATTTGCTCAGCTCCAGAGAATGGATGATAGGAGGCTGTGACTGTGAGTTGGATCTGGAGTGAGAACACCCAGGGGCAAGTTGCTGAGCCCTCTCTTATTGGGTATGTGACTCTAGGTGCCAAGTGGTTCTCAGTTTCCCCATCTTTCACATGTGGTTAGTAGAGGAGGTGCTAGGGCCTGAGTGAGCTAGCGATTCATGTATGGCTCTTAGATCAGTCCTGGAACATGGTCTACACTTGATACCTGTGATTTGCAAGCCAGGGCTGTCCCGGGGCTTGCCATGGAGACAGTTTTCTAGGGCTCTCTCTCCCGGCCCTCTCTGACTCAGAGGTATGTCAAAGCTGTTCTGGGGTTGGGGATTTTTCCAGGATATGGCCCTGAATGCAGAATGACAGAGACAATAGCTGGCCATTACTGAGCACTTACTGTGTGCTAAACACTCAACCTGAACCAGCTCCCTTCAACCCACAACAACCCCACGAGGTGTATGTGCTATCATTGTCCTTTTACTACAAATGTGGGACCTGTGGCTCCGAGAGGTGAGTTCAGGTGCCCAAGGTCACACAGTTTATGCGTGCCAGAGCTGGGCATCGATCGGGTTTGATGCTGGACCTGATCCCGTGTAGGGCCAGGGCCTGTCCTGGCCGCCAGGACTGAGAACTGCCCTGGGGCCCGGGAGAGGAAACCTGGGCCTCGGTTTGACCTACCGTTGATTTGGAGCCTCCCCTTCTCTTGGCCGGCTGCTCAACCCACACCCTGAGATGCTCAGTCTTTCCTGTCCTAAGCTTCCAAACTCCTGAGTGCTGGGATTCCCAGGATCCAAGATTCTGACTGTCAAGTCCCAAGCTTCTTGGAGTTGCCACGGTGCCTTTCCCGAGCAGGGTGGCCACACGCAGCCATGCCTGGAGCAGGGTGTGGGCCCCCGCCAGTGGCCTGCCCCTCCACAGCTTGGGTGGGGCCCCGGCGGAGCAACCTGGTTTTAGGGTAAAAGACAGGAAACAGGCCATATCTGACCCACTCTGTTAGGCAAGCAGGAAGACAGGACGTGGCAGCTCTCTGCCCCTCCCTCACAGCCCCTCTCCTGTGGTAAGTGACCGTTTTCCTGCCTCTGGGGGAAGAAAGGTGTAAGGGGCGGGGGGGCGCTTCACGGCTCTGAGGAATTGCCTTCACTCTTCTGAGCCTTGCTGTCCTCATCTGTATAATGGGGATTGTAGTAGCCGGTGCCCGTGTGGAATGGTCCAGCCGCAGTGGGGGCCTTCTGATACGCCGTGCTCATTGCATTACAATACATTTCTAGTATTGTAAATAGTAAAGTCAGTATCCCACCTGCCAGCCACAGTGCTCACACTCCAGCCCTGTCCTTGCCGCCTGCATGGCCCCCTCAGAGCCACAAAACACCCGGAAGCCGGATTTTCCTCCGGCCAAACAGCCTGGCTCATGGCTGGGGTCTCCGTGGTCCTTCTCCCTTGAAGCCCCTGGGGTTGCAGGCACCGAGTTGGGGTGACAAGCCAGCCCAGCTTGTCTGGGACTGAGGCATAAGGGGAGGAGAGATTTTGAGTACTACAAGTGGGAACACCCTGGACGAGGTGGTCACCCTAAATAGACCTGGGCTGGGAGATGGGCTGCCCCAATGTGCCCTGGCTCCACACCCACGGGGGTCTCTGCTCTCACTCAGGACCCCACAGTGTCCCTCACTGCCCCCGGGGCGGGGGTAGGGAGCCTGTCACGTCCATACATTCCCTGACACAGCTTTCTCTTTCCTCCGCACCTGTGTCCACGGCCCTGAAGAGGCTCCCCCAGTAAAACATCCCTGCTGGATGCCAGATATCAGGGACCTTCCCTGCAGCATGCTATTTGATTCTCAGCTCCATTCTCTGAAGCAACGTCACCCATTTTACAGATAGGGAAACTGAGGCAACCCGCTCAGGTTACATAGCTGCAGAGTGGTCTCTCCTCCAAGCTGCCTCCACATGCAGGGGGCGGTGGGGAAGGGCACGGGGAGAGGGCAGCCGCCCCTTCCACACCTTCCTCCCTGCCTCTGGGCTGCAGAAAATCAGGTCCTGACTCATCAAGGTGCCTCCTCCCCCCAGGAACCGGTGGGTGGGGCCTTTTCTTGCCCCCACCCTCTCTGCTTCCAGGAAGTGGCTGAGGGCTCTGCCTTCCAGGAACTGAGAACTGCCCAAGTAGGGGGTGGGGGGTGGGTACAAGTCTTCGTAATTTTGAAATACGGATCCTAAAGTCCACCCTGCCCCATCCACCCCGGGAAAGCAAGGCCAAAATTACCCCCAAGCAGGAACTTTCCCCCTGTACAAAGACGCTCTGCCTCCTAAAGGCAGGTTGGGAGGCAAAGGATGTGGATACGCACATGTGTGTGTGTGAGAGAGAGATGTTTATTAAGCACCTACTGCGAGCCTGGAACTTTTGAGTCCATCATCTTGTTGCATTCCCTTAACAGCTCAATGAGATAGATGCAGATTGGTATCACCATTTTACAGATGAGAAAACTGAGGCTCAGAAATTCAAGGTCATACAGCTTATAAGGGACAGAGTGGGACCTGAACATCTTTTTGTCTGACCCCATAGTCTGTGTTCTCAATCCCGTGCCCTGCATAGCACCTGGTACATATGGGGCTGAACTTTCTGGATGAGATGGCCCTCAAGGTCCTTCTTTTTTTTAAGATTAATTTGTTCATTGAGGCAAGAGGGGTAGAGAGAGAGGGGGAGAGAGAATCTCAAGCAGACTCCATGCTGAGCACTGAGCTGACGGGGAGTTCGATCCCATGACCCTGAGCTCATGACATGAGCTGAAGTCAAGAGTCGGATGCTTAACTGACTGAGCTACCCAGGCGCCCCAAGGTCCTTCTTATTCTTATTCTGCCTTCCTTCTCTCAACTGGGTCCCCAACCCCTGCCACAGAAACAGCAAGCTAAGGTCTCTTCCAAGTCTTTGCTCCTTCTGCCCCCTTAGCTAGGTCAGGTTTCTTCCCAAAGCCTTCCTGAATCTTCACTGGGCTGCAGTCTGATCTCTGCCACTTGTCAGGTGTGTGCCTTTGGGCAAGTTGCTTTACCTGTCAGAGCCTTACCCCTCCTTAGTAAAATGAAGACACTTGTGAAGGCCTGATGTGTCTGATGCAAATATCATGAAGTTTGGTTTAAGAAATTATTTTAAGACAGGATCAGACCGCCATTTTAGAAACCAACATGAACGAGCAGGTGAAGGAGGTCAGGTTGAGCCTAGAAGCTAAGGGGCTTATGAGTAAGTACAGTCACTCAAGGAAGGATGAGCAACTGGTCTCTGCTCAAAATTTTGCGAAGTATGAGGAAAAGTTTTGTAAATGACCCAGGCTCTGCCCCAGACACAGTGCTTGGGATTGCGCCCTGCTGAGGGTATTATGTCCGAGAAAACCAGGAATACCTGAATCCTGGCCCAGAACACAGCTGTCACTCCCCACAGGATCCTCAGAGGGTGCACGATTCTGAATCCCGCAAACAACCCACCAGTGGCAGGGGGGCCGTGAGGGGAGGGAGATCCGTCAAGAAAGCATGGATGTCCACCATGCCAGGAAGAAAGACCAAGGAGAGGAACTTGCCCTTTCTGGCTGCTGGTCAGGGGGCTGAAGGGTCACAGGAGAATGGGCCCCCAGGCAAGTGAGATGACTCTCAGCTCCCCGAGGGCAGGACCGTTCTGAAGAGTTGGGAGTTTTCAGATAGGACAGAGTACAGTTGATGGCTCTGGGCCCTTGAGGACTTACAGGAGACACTTACTGATGGAGCCCAAGTAGCCGCCCTTTGCTGGAGCTGGTGATGGGGACAAAGTGCTAAGGGCTTCATAGGCATTGCCTGTTTCAACCTCACAATAAGCTATGCGGTAGGTACTGTCATCCCAGTTGTGGAAGTGAGGACAAAACCAAGCCAGGACACCGAGAGAGGATGGGGAAAACTGAGGACCTGAGGGACAGGCCAGCGCTGTGTACGGTGGGAGCCAAGATGAAGGAAAGTAGGAGAGAGGGACATGGAGAGATGGGTCAGGAACAGACTCCAAAAGGCCCCAAAGGCCCAAACAAGCAGCTTTATCTGGAGACCTGTGGTCTCCAGACTCTTTGGCTCATGGACGCCATCAGCGGACAATATATGTACATTGATCTATCTATGAATTGTAAGCAGGTACTCCTGGGCTCATGATAGATTATAAATGTGTGCAAAACTAGAAATCACAAAAGGGTGACATAACAGTCTAACTAGAAGCTCTAATAGTTTTTTTTTCTATACCCCAGTGGACTGTCTTGCCCACAATTTTGAAGTTTTAATCACAAAGGGTAGGGAGGCAAATACAATTTCTTTGCACCATATAAGGAGAGTTGCGGTGCCCTCTGGATGGATCTATTGATGCTGATAAATAATAATAGCTGCAATTTGCTGGGCTGCTCCCGTGTACCAGGCACGCCCTGGGTCATGAGGATGCTTAAACGCTAAGTGCCTGGCCCCCTGGCTGTCGCTGTCCACATTATTGCAGTAGAGGGCGCTTGGCAGGCCCAGAGGTGAAGCTGTCCTCACGTCCCTTTGTCTGTGTCTCCCGCCAGGTGCCATGCCTCTGCAAGTCCTCCTGCTTCTGATTTTGCTGGGTCCTGGCCGCAGCCTTCAGCTGTGGGAGCTAGGGAAGGATGGAGCCCAGGAGGCCTCAGACGTCCCTCTTGCCCGGGTCCAGAGACAAGTGGATGAGGACCAAGAAGTGGACTTGTACGACTATGTCATAGAAGGCACAGAGCCTCCAGAAATGCTTACACATGAACCTGGGTCTTTGGCCCTGACCCCTAACATTCTGGCTCAGTTGGCAACACTGGGGCATGGAACTCCTGAGCCAGCTACTCTGGAGGCGGCCACACAGGACTCTGCTGGCCTGAACACAGGAGGGGTGGCCCTGGGGAATCTGAGCATGGAAGTGACCACACAGGTGATTCCTGTCACACCGGACCTGCTGACCAAAGAACTGGCCACTACATTACCTCCCATCACAGAGTCTCTATCCACAGAGGGAGCTCCATCCACAGAGCTGGCCACCACTGAGGCCCCGTCCACAGACCCAGCAGCCACGGAGGCACTGACCACGCAACCTGTGGCCACAGAGGCCCCGTCCATGGAGTCTACTGTCATGGAGACCCTGTCCATGGGGCCAGAAGCCACGGACGCCCTGTCCACAGAGCCCACTGCCACAGAGGCCCTGTCCATGGAATCTACTGTCATGGAGACACTGTCCATGGGGCCAGAAGCCACGGACGCCCTGTCCACGGAGCCCACTGCCACAGAGGCCCTGTCCATGGAGTCTACCGTCACGGAGACTCTGTCCACGGGGCCAGAAGGCACGGATGCCCTGTCCACGGAGCCCACTGGCACAGAGGCCCCGTCCACAGATCCAGCCACCACGAAGTTCCCGTCCACAGGACCTGCCACCATAGGGCACCTAACCACAGTCCTTCTTGTGACCTCTGATCCTCAAAACAGCACCACTGTGGCAGGAGGCAATTTGCTTGATGTCCTCACCAAACGATGGGAAAATGGGCAGCATCTGTCCCCACAGAGCTCTGTGGCCCCCATCCCCGCAGGGGCCCCGGACCACATCCCCGTGAAGCAGTGCTTGCTGGCCATCCTCATCCTGGCCTTGGTAGCCACGACCTTCCTCGTGTGCACAGTGGTGCTGGCCGTCCGCCTCTCCCGCAAGAATCACATGTACCCAGTGCGCAATTATTCCCCCACCGAGATGGTCTGCATCTCATCCCTGCTGCCCGAGGGGGGCGAAGTGCCCACGGCCACGGCCAATGGGGGCCTGACCAATGCCAAGAGCCAGGGCCTAAAGGTGGAGCCCAGGGAGGGCAGAGATGGGGACGACCTCACCTTGCAGAGCTTCCTCCCTTAACTCCTCCGTTCGTCCACGTGAGCAGGACCCTGGCCTCCTCGCTCCCTCCAAGGCCCGCCGGGCCACAACCGAGCACCCAGGCTCTGTTCCAGATCTGGGTTTCCTTGGGGCCCCCTGGGGATGGGGACCTTTAGAACAGGGCCCCTGGTTGGCCCACAGGGCCGAAAGCGGCTGAATTCTTGCAGCCAAAGCAGGATTGGTGAGCGAGCCGCCTTGTCCTCCCTCCTGCCTCCAGAGGAGGCCGGGGAGATCCCTCCACCTCCCTGTCTCCCACCTATCTGGGCTCCCTCTAATGCCTCCCACTGCTAAGGTCGCATCCCCATGCGCCCAGGGAAGACCCAGTCTTCTGGTTGCTGTCACTGTATAGGAAGGGGACATTTGGGGGAGGAGTGCCGGGTTCCTGAGGCCATTCCTGGTCACCCCCCACTTGGGGGCAGCTTGGGTTTTCTTGGGCGTTTCCCCAGGGAGCCCAGGGTGAGATCCTGGCCTGTGAGGTCTGGGGTATACTTAGAGAGCCCAGGGCTATACCCTTCTTTGGGGCTGTGTGGACCAACGAGCTTCTTCCTGGGGACAGAGTAACCCCTATTCTGCCCTCTCTCGTCTGCCCCTATGCCTACATTTTAGGGAGGGCTCTGTCTTCTTCACTGAAGTATCCCACCCCCCAGCCCAGGGCCTGGTACAGCACAGGCCTTTAATAAATATTTGATAAACAAATGATGGCTGAATGTTTCAGGGTATCAGGAGGGTGCCTCCTTCTGGTGGAGAGTTGGTCCTTTGCTGTTCACCCCCAGCCCCAGCCCCCTCCAGGAAGCGCCCTGTACAGGCCTAAAGTTGACTTCAGTGTTGTCTCTTGGACACTGGGAGCATCTTGGTACATCTTTGGGCATCTGGGGAAGGTTTTAGGCTTTTGGGGGGAGAGGGAGGCTGGTCCCCGAATCCACTTTATTCAACATCCCCCATGACCCAGTTCTAACCTACAGAATTTGGTGCCCCCCACCCACCAAATCTCAGACAAATGTGCCCTCTCAACGTCAAGGCCATCCTCCCTGGAAACCCACCTTGACCTCTGCCTTCTACAGGGGGCCTGTCTCCCATCAAACACTGCCCCCTCACAGGGCTGAGCACAGCTGCAGGCTATAAGGTTTTTGTACAAAGTTTGGGGCCAGCAAACTTTTTCTTAAATGGCCAGGCCAAAAATATTTTACGTTTTGCAGACCACGTGGTCTCAGCTGCAACTTCTCAACCTCATCCTCGGTCCTCGCAGATGGGATGTGGTGATGGACAACATGTCACAAATGAATGGGGTTGGCTGGGTTCTAATAAAACTTTATTTACAAACAGACAGCAGGCTCTGTGTTTGCTGACCCCTGATTTAAGCACTGGGCGAGCAGATGGCCCGGTCTGTGTGGGACTTTGTGAGTTTAGCACTAGGAGCCCCATTTGGGGGCAACTCCGCAGGCCCAGCAAATCGGGACGGTTGGCTGCCCTATTCAAGCAACGCTCACCATGTCCCTGCATTACCACGTTCGGGCCCACGCTGACCCCACGCCGGAGCTTCGACAGTGGCTGAGCCCGGATTCAGACCTGGGATCTTCTGCCTCCTGAAGCTTTTCTGTCCCTTGGGTACCGGGAGAAGGAGCTGCTGCTACAAGCGCTCTGTTCTACCTTTTGGGAGAGGAATACACCTCACCTTGGTGGGCTTTTTCTCTTCTAGAAAAATACCTCCCGCGGCCTCTTTGGGAGCCACGGATCCCTTCACTTCAGGGTGTGGCCTGCAGACAAAGTTCAAAGACTGGGTTGAGTCCCGGTAGGTATTGGCTGCAGCAGGAGAGGTGGGGGGAGACAGGGGACAGGCAGGAGGGAACGTGGCAGGCCATGGGGGCAGAGTCAGTGAGAAGTGGAAGAATGTCGGCCCCTGGCCCCCTGACTCTCTAGAACCAGCGTGTCACACAAGGAAGGCGTTCAGGGCGCTTTGGTGGGAGAGGGGTGTCCACCCTGGGCGGGGGCAGCTGACCCTAGAAAAGGCGGGATCGTGCATTAGGAGAAACGTGCGTTTCCTCGCCCTCTGGAAGTGATGAGAAAAATCACATGGGGGACTTGACGTCATGGAGCTGGGGACCCAGAGGCTGAAGGACTTGGGGGACATCTGAGCAGTCTCCGTGGGGCCTTGTCACCCCATCCTTCTGGGCAGGGAGCAGGTCCCCGGGTTCTCCCCCTCCGCTGGAGGACACTGCGACCCCAGAGGGCTCCCCTTTGGTGGCTTTCTCCAAGGCCTGGACCTCAGTGGGCGTCAGGGATGACGGGTGCTTGACGCAGCCACCAGGGGGTGCCCGCCACCAGCTCTTGGAGCCATTGAGAGGCCGGTGCTTCCCAGTGTTTGAGGAGCAGGGATTGCTGAGCCAGGGACCAGCTGCAGACCCAGATCAACGGGCTCCTTGAGTGCATTTGTACCCAAGCGGTGATCTGTGGTGCTTGCCAATGTCCTTGGTGTAAATACTCCCAGGGCTGATTCTGAGCCACCAACTATGTATAAAATAAATGATACAACAAATATAAATCTTCTCAAGAACATAGATAAAAGCAGAATGTAGTAAAATAATTAGGAAGTGATGAGTGTTGAGTATTGGAGGTTTTTTATAAGTTAACTTATGAAAGAACTGGCTTACAGAATTCTGAAAATCTAACAGTGGGCCCTCGGGGATGGCTATAGGCTGACTCCACACCCCTGTGCTCTCCTCTTGCCCCGACCTCTCCTCGACCTTGAACATCACCGCCTGAATCACCCATTCATCCATTCGGCATATATATTCTGAGCACGAACATCTGCAACATCTCCCATGAGTCCCCTCAAACAGCCTGGGAAGGAGGATTCATATTCTCCTCATTTTACAGGAGAAACTGAGGCCAAGTCACCTGTTTCAGGTCACACATAGGATCTGGGACGGGAACCCAGGCCTGAATCAGAAAACCCTGTTCCTACCACAGTGTCGGGCTGTCCTTGAGGTCCCAGCAGGGTTCCGGGGTGGGGGGGATGCTGTGCCCCAAACTCTCCCCGCTGCTGACCTGTCCTGGCGTCTGGAAGTCCCCAGCAGTCACCCTTGCAGCTCCTGGTGGCCGAGAGAAGGCACTGGTACTTGGGAAGGTGACAGGGTTGAAGCCAGCTCCCTCCTTGCAGAGAGCAGGATGCAGTAAAGCTGCGGTCCAGGACACAGAGAGATGGCGGGGGGGGGGGGGCCGGGGGGCCAGCGTGGGCTGGGCATTTAGCGCACGTCTAGCCCTATGCCGAACACTTCAGCTGCAGGATCTACTCAGGCTTCATAGCCACCTGGGACGTGAGTATAATTATTATCCCATTTTACTGCTGGGGCAACTGAGGTTCAGGAGGCTAATTCACTTACGCCAGCAGGTTGCATTGCTAAGAAAGCAGGTTCTGCTGACTTCAGCTCTGGCGGCAGCGAAGGAAGGAGGGTAGACAGGAAATCAGGAAATGGAGGGGACGCATACTAAGTTTACTCTAGGTCTCTTGTGTCTTCCGGGCTGGGGTTGCCAGCCCTGCAATGGTTCATCCGACAGCTGATCTGGGCAGAGGTTCCTCAAGCTTGCCCTCTATATCCCGCCCCATCTGCCACTCAGGCCATATACCTCGAATGTCATGGTGAGTCCACCCTGTGCCAGGCACCATGCTAGGTCCCGGGGATGCCATGTGGGGCTCCTGGCCTGGAGGGAGAGCGAGAGATTCATCAAATGATCACCCAGAAAAATAGAAGATCGTGGCTGGGCCCAGAGCCTCAAAGGAGGGGTGCTGGGGCTCTGAGCATGTGCAATGTGGCCGGACCTTGGGGGTGAGGCGGGGAAGGGATTAGGACAATGTTTGAGGCTGGACAGGTGCAGAGTTATTGAGGTTGGGTGTAGAGAGGAGAATGTTCCAGGCACTGAGGACAGTGTAGAGAACGGGGTGGGGGCGTTGGGAGAATGGAAGAGGCTAGGGCGGCGGGAAGGAGCCAGAGTGGCTGCAGGGGGGCGGGCATGGCTGTTTGAGGATAAGGGGGCCTGAGCCAGCGTGGTGGGTGCATGAGGTGAGGAATCGAGAGATAACTGGGAAGCAGGAAGGGTAGGAGTTGGTAATGCATGGGCAGGGTGATCGGGGCGCATGGGTGGCTCAGTCGTTATGGCGTCTGCCTTCGGCTCAGGTCATGATCCCAGGGTCCTGGGATCGAGCCCCGCGTTGGGCTCCCTGCTCCGCGGGAAGCCTGCTTCTCCCTCTCCCACTCCCCCTGCTTGTGTTCCCTCTCTCGCTGTCTCTCTCTGTCAAATAAATAAATAAAATCTTAAAAAAAAAAAAAAAAAAGAGCCAGGCCAAGGGGAAAAAAAAAAAAAACGCATGGGCAGGGTGATGAAGAGAGGGAAGGAAATGGAAACCTCAAGTTTCCTACGTGGGTGTCATCAGTGGAAGGAGCAGGTTGGGTGGTGGGAGGGCTTTGGCCCTGGAGAGTCTCCAGGGTCTGGTCAATCTCCAGGCCAAGTGTCAAGAAGGCTGCCGGAAAAGACCCTCAACATCATTAGCCATCAGGGGAATGCAAATGACAGCCACTGTGAGATGTCACCTCACGCCACCAGAAGGACTACCATTCAAGACCCACAGTGCCACGTGCCGATGAGGATGCGGAGAAGCTAGAACACTCACATGTTGCTGCTGGGAATGCAACAGGGCACCGCCACTTTGGAAACCAGCGTGGCGCTTTCTTATGAAGTTAGACGTGTATTCAGGATACTGCATATTTGCACCAAGTTGCACATCCGGGCAACTTCGAAATCCCTTTCCTAGGTATTTCTGCGAAAGAATGAAGATGTGTGTCCATACAAAGACCTCTATGCAATGTTTATGGCAGCTTTATTCATAATAGCCAGAAAGTGGGAAACAATCCAAAGATCCATCATCTGGTGAATGGATAAATGAACAACGGGATGCTACTCGGAATAAAAAGGAGCGAACAGTTGGT